TAAACTAAACTAAACTATTACTCAGTTGTTTTGCATGTACATCAAGCGCTTATGCATTGGAGAAAATTTTCTTGTGTATCTAACCACACTTGGCCAACTAAAGCGTTCTGTTCTGTTCTGTTCCATCCCATGCCATCCCATCTCATCCAGTGGTGGGATTCAATTTTTTTTACTGATTCTGTGGGCGTGACTTGGTGGGTGGGGCATGGTTTGGTGGGCATGGCAGGGAAAGGATACTATAAAATCTCCATTCCCCCCCCCCACACACCAGGGAAGGTTCCTGCAAAAACCCCATTCCCTCCCAATCAGCAGGGACTTGGAAGTTGGAGAATAGATGGGGGCGGTGTAAGTCAGAAATAGTATTTACCGGTTCTCCAGACTACTCAAAATTTCCACTACTGGTTCTCCAGAACTGGTCAGAACCTGCTGAATATTTGCAACATATGATTATGACCCAACTGCTGCAAACTCTATATAATTTGTGTCATTAGTCTGATGATTTTTGACGGCCATATTGCCACTCATGAAAGGCATCTTGCCACAACATGGGATATGATGACTTTGTGACTTCTGTTGGATGCCTATGATTGCTTAGTTAACAGTTGCACTTCAGTTACCTTATGTAAGGTTCCTGGGGTGAATGTATAGTCAGAAATAAGCCCCAATGAGTTCAGAGAAGCTTACATTCTGTCAACTGTGCATAGGATTACAAATCGTGCTCTGTAATCTTAAACATGAGCAGTTTCTTTGTTTGACATTGCTGTGTGTTATAATGGATTCTTAAAGCAAAGGATAAGCCTCATAGAAAAATATTTACATATTTCACTAGGATGCATGCAATCTCTCCAGGTAAAACCTTTTTCTTTCAAATCTCTTTGACTGTGTGTGGGTTTGTTTGCGTGTCTGGGCTATCACAAAGTATCTATATATGAACCCAGAATTGTCTGCCAGTCTTCCTGTGGGGAAATAATACAATTAGTCCTTGCATTTCAAAGTTTATTGTTCCACTGTTTCTCAACATATAACCAGCAAAGGATTGCAATAAAACTATATAATGAAATGGACCAAGCAACTAGTCATAGGATGTTTAGCACATGAGTTCATCACAAGAATGCTTTATGTTTTTAGAGGTTTAGTATTAAAACAGCTTGGTTGGATGTGTCTAAAAATGATACTGGCGATAAAACATCTGGGAATGTGATTTTGAATTCTGGCATTTTACTTGACCAGAGACAAAGAGACTGGGGCAAAAGAAAAAAATATACAGACTATGAGCAATCACAGGCTATCATGCCACTTTCAACTCACTGAGAAAAATCATTATTTTTCACCAGACAAATTATGAATGCAACAGATTTTTGAGGGACACCAGAAAACAATAGAGGTTGTGAAGGGCAGTATGAAGGGTAAAGGTTGAGAACCAGGGGGTTACACCATAGTAAGCTAATTGTCTGTAGTTTGTAACCATGTTGTCTGGGAATTCTGCAAATTGTTCCGCAAGATCTGGACAATACCAGGTTAGGGAAATTAATCTAGAAAGGTTCAAACATTGCAGTACACCATCATTTATTAAGCAAGCATGGAGTATCACATTTCACAATGAGCTGCAAACTATAGCTTACAATCCACAGTGGATAAGTTTAGACATTATACTATGTGGAAACCAACTTGCCACATTACTACACAGTATGAACCCATTTCTATTATTTCTGTGTGCTACACTTTCCTCTATTATATCCATTCCTATATGTATCTTCTCTCTCTCTTTCTCTCTCTCTCTCTCCCTTTCTTTTTTCTTTCCTTTTTTTCTTTCTTTCCTTCCTCTCTCTTTCTTTTCTTTTCTTTCTCTCTCTCCTTCCTTCCTTCCTTCCTTCCTTCCTTCCTTCCTTCCTTCCTTCTGTTGGAAGAAATGTCTTTCTGGGTTCAGC